GGTGTCTGGAAAAAGTTGTTCTGTTTTGTTCTTTTTAATAATACATGGCTGCTTAAACCTTATCTCTCTTTAGGCTCAGAAAGGATCTATTCTTCATTGCTTAGCTAAGGTTTTAAGTCTCTTTGAGGTGAGTAATATTTGTTTCCTGCTGACAAGACTTAGTAATTATGAAAGTACAATTTTATAATCCAGACTTCTTCTATGTCTCTTTAAAATGCTTGGTGTGCTGTGTTGTTACCTTTATGCATGATCAGTCCAATTGTTACTTACTTCTTCCAAGGTGTGTTGTTATTTTTTGGTTTTGGTTTTTTTTTAAGGCTGAGGAGCTTAAATACCTTTTCTTACCCTCTGTTTAAGGGATGCTGTCAACTCTAGACGTTGTCAGTTGAAAAAAATTAAGTAGTTTTAAGTAGAGGTGCACCGATACATCGGTCTGATAACGGACCGGTACCAATATGAAGAAAATTCCCTATATCGGATATGGGGCCAATAATTTGGCTGATAAATGCCCGTGCTAAACGCAGCCACAGCAGAGCACGGAGCAGAGCCAGCAGCATGGAGAGCTACCTCTAGCTGGTAAGCTGGGAGGGAAGGGGCATTGGGGGAGCAGATCAATGCGCCTGCAGTGAGGGAGGGGCAGGGGCAGGCGCTGCCCAGCTTGGGCAGGGGAGTTGAGGGATGGATGCGCAGCTCGTGGTGGGGGGTGGCTCTTGCCGCTGCTTGCACTGCTGCCACCCAAGCACTGGGAAAAGCTGGGGTTGCGGCAGGCAGCAGCACAGGGCTGAGAGCGGAGCTGCAGTGAAATTTGGGGTGGCTGCAGCCTGCTTCTAGAGCCTGCTCCAAGCCCAGCCCCTGGGAGAGGAGCTGCGCAGCACTATCTCTGGCTGCACCCCACAGCTGCAGCCTGCCCCACACTGCACAGGTCCAGGGGCACATGTCCCTCCCCCTCCTGGGGTGCAAGTAGCAGTGGGGACTGCCCCCTTCCCCCCCCCCCAAAACC